CGATTAGTATAATAGGGTGCCGTCAAAATACCGGAAAGAAAATAAAAACACAGACCGTCTGACGCGATAAGGTTCTGCGAAAAATGCGCTGGAATAATGAAATTTCCACAAAATCCATATTTGGAGCGGTTCCAAGCAACTCTCAATGGATTTTTGCAATAAACTAGGCGAAATAGATATGAATTATGTATTTGACCGAAAATGTAAAGAACATTATTAAATACACGTTCAATAATAGCAAGTTATATTACCTATATAAAGGGGGAGTGAAGTTTCTTTTTATAATTATATATATCCCAACAAAAAAATTCCTATGAGATTCTTTTTAAGTGAAATGCATTTGAAAACCCCTTCACTATGCCGTAGTTTAATATGCAATAATTGAAAAAATGAGGAATTTTCGTAATTAATACCTAAACATCAATTTTAGACAGTTAAATTTAAAAAAATGTTCATCTTCTTGCAACAGCATCGTTTTCTCCTGACAAGAAGTAGGCTCTAACCATATCAACCCTTTCTTGAATCGTACTAAAACATAAACGTAACAGAATGAAGAAGTAATGTCGTATTTGGGCGTACCCGTTTTGCAAAATTAACATGGCAGTTTATTTTTTACCCGTTTGCCATCCCGTCACATCATGCCAGGTGTGAAATCAACTAGCAGTAGCGGCATTTCAGAGACGGCAATATAGCATCGGATTCTGTTTAAATTTAAACTGATCACGATTTCATTTTGTTGCTGTTTTATTTACTGAGGATTAATCTCGTATAGTTAGCAAAACTACAAAACTAGAGATTATTTGATACTATTATTTGTAAAAAAAACTGACCCACCACTTAAATTTACACCCCGTACAAATCGTAGCAAACAAAATATTCAAGAAATAAATATTGCCGAAACAATGAAAGAATTGTTTTTGTAATTTTATCTGTTAAACTTTATGGAATGATTATTAAAAAAGTGAAGATCTCTGGAAAAGAAAATAATATTGCCAATTATGGGTCGTGTTTCTAAGACCCCTTAAGGAAAAATTTGAGGTCGACATTGATGTGTGTCAAACCTGGATCCGCAATGCGTCTAGACAATTTCAGCTTTTAAGACAGCTGTGTGGTATTTATGGCAGAGTGCCACACGAAAATTCCCTCGAGCCTTGAATTTCGTTTTATTTCTATTTTCTGATAGATCGTTCCGCTGTCGATGATATTCCGTTAAAACTTCCAGAACAGAGACGTTCTCACGCAAAGTTTGACCATCTTCTCCGCAGTGTGAAAGGGGTAATATTTATTACGTTCTTTGCTACGGAAAAACGCAATAAATTTAAACAATTATGCCGTGACTTAATGGGACAATTATTCAAATAGGATTCCGATAATAAATTGGCAATTTTATCAAAATAAAAAAGAACAATCGTAACCTATGAAGTTACACGAACAGGCATAATATTTATAGATTTTGGGCCATATTTAATGTGATTTATATTTTTATTCAAATATGACGTAATACACGTGGTATACCTTATTAAAAAATGTAATTTCATCAAATAATATCTCGCAAACACAATTTTTATTTGTTCTAGTTTTTAGGTCATTCAATTAATTTTGCAGATTCAATAATAACGAAGTTAATCATTGTGGGAATTTAATTTGGATCACCCTGTACTACACAACTCCCTTTTCCGGCAATTTACAGATATACCACCGAGGCCTGCGATATTTCCATTTTCCGGACAGATATTATTCGTCCGGGGGTTGTTTTTAGACCGGAAGTTTCAGGTTAAAAAATACATCCGGTATATCTGCCCCCATTTGACAAAGCGGACTTGAAGTCAGAATAACACCAATGCCGTTTTCAATTTTCTTTTTATTGGAACGGAACCGAAAAATTTAAGCATATACATACAGGGTGAGTCAGTTTTTTGTTGTAGGATTTTAACAGTTGATAGAGATTCATTTTTTAATAAGAAAAGTTCCTATAAACGTAGGTCTTAGAACGCTTCGTTTGTGAGATATAGGGTGTTGAAAACAA